TTCTGGGATTCTGGGATCTCAACATGCCAACTCTGAAAAACAGAATTTTGGAGCAAACCCCTCACCCCAGCATTGTCCCCCCTCAGCCACGGCCTCCAAGGACAGCTGAGGCTGCTGCAGAGAGCCCTGGGTTTGGGGTTAAGGACACTTGGGAATAGGAACAGCAAATGCTTGGAAAAGTTTCCCAGTAAGGAATTTTCCCCCCATGTTTCCTGTAAAAACCTTGTGTTGTTGTCCCTTTGGCTAAGAAGGTGATGCTCAGAATCTGGGATTTGGGTAAAAATTAATACCACAAACTTGGTGTATTTACTATAATTTATGACATATCAATTTCACTGCCTTGAAAAGCAACATAAAAAAGACAACAAAAAGTTCTTTCTTGTGACAATTTAAGCAAGAAATATTTTTTAGCTGCTGTTTTCAGCCTTTGAAACTTGAAGTTGCTTATAAATTTCCCTGACCAAAATTTTACCCTTCCAAAAAATAAAACCCAAATTCTCCTTGTTCCTTTTACTTAAAACAGAAGGAAAAAAAAGCTTGGGGAGGTTTAAAGAATAAAAAATCAGCCTGAAGCAACACCCAGGACAGGAAACTTCTTCCAAGCAGTTAAAGCTTGGCAAACCTGCAAACAATGGAAAACAAACAAACGAGGATCAGTTGAATGTTTGTCTCAGCCTGAATGTTCTGGACACACAAAACCTCCCAAAGTATCCTCAAATCCCCAAAATGAGGTCAGGAAGTTTTCTGGTCCTGATGTTCCATGTTGGAAAATCCTCAGTGTGCTCTGTCCATCCCAGATACCAAGCTCCTGTGTAAATTTGAGCACTGGTTTTTGCGTATATAAATGGCATTAATTAGTATTCAATTAATAAAATTCTTCAATAATGTATTAATTTAAACTTTTCTATGTCAAAGATGAGATTTACATTACTCATACACCTAGAGTGGACTAGTTTATTTTAACAAAATAAATAAAATAAATATCCAGAGTAGGTTATGTTACATTGATTTTTTAAAAATATTTATACTTTTACAGGTGCATTTGGCTACTTGGAATTTTCTAAATGCTTTTCATTCAGCTTTATTTTAATTTTTAACTGGAAGTCTTTATGTTCTGCCTGAAATTTGGGTTCAGCAGTCCAGTTTCTCCTCTTTGAGGTGATCCCTTTCAAAAAGTGCTCTGTCAATAAAATTCAGTTCAGGTTTAGTGTGAAAAAATTTGCTGTTACACATAGGTTGGAAGAGGGAAAAACAATGGGATTGAGGGGATTTTTATGCTTTTGTTTTTTGTAATTTGGTTTTATAAACCAAGAGAGAAACTTTCTGTGCTGGGAGCACGAGTGTTGAGTGTCCTGTGGATGTGAGCACTCAGGAGAGGATATTTGAGTGGAAAGAGATCTAAACCCATCATCTAATTCAATTTATTCATCAACCTGATGGGCCCTGCACACTAAATATCAAATACCTGGAGTATTGGTAATTTTGTTCTGCAGAAAGGAGAGAATTGATGGCAGTGCTGTCAGCACAGAGCAGAGAAGTGTTTGGTGCAGCCCTGCCTCAGAGAGTTTCCTGTTGCTGCTGCTCAGTGAAATCTTTGCAGCTCCACTGATTTGCCAACTTCACCAAGGACAATTTCAAAGCTGTCATTTCTTGGGAAACGAATGTTTTTGAAATATCAGTTAAACAACAACACACTTCATCTTCCATTGTGCTGCCAGTGCCTGCCAATTGTCCCCAGTTTAAACCCATTTTTTAATATTCCTTGTATCAGGGAATCACAGATCCCAGAGTGGTTTGGGTGGGGATGTTAAAGCCCACCCAGTGCCAGCCCTGCCATGGCAGGGACACCTCCCACTGTCCCCAGTGTCCAACCAGGCCTTGGGCACTGCCAGGGATGCAGGGGCTCCACAGCTGCTCTGGGAATTCCATCCCAGCCCTGCCCACCCTCAGGAACTGTTCCAATATCCCACCCAATCCCACCTCCTGTCAGTTTGCAGCCATTCCCCCTTGTCCTGCCACTCCTTTATGCTCCCTCCCAACCCAAAGCAGAATCTGTGATTCCACCCCAGATTTGTTTTGGGTGCTGGACCCTTTGCAAAGTTTCCTGAAGTCCTGAGACCTGACAGCCAGGACTCTCCATGGCTGCTTTTGAACTCCCCCTGGCAGTCCTGCAGCTGGGGGTGACAGTGGGAATAGGGAGCCCTGAAGCTGCTTTAGAAGGATGGGAATGGAGAACTGCAAGGTTTTCTATTGGAATATGAATCCCAATATCACCAGTTAGATTGTGCCTGGGCCAGT